TGTGCGCAGATACCTGTAGCCACTTTGCAGCTAGAAGTGATGGTGCTTTTAATAGCTCAGTGCTTTGGCACTCTGCTCTGGGTTTATTGTGCTGGTGTTTCTCTTTGATTCTCTTCCTGCTTTACTTCATCTCATCTACTGCAGCATTTTAGTCTTTCCTCCATCACTCCTTCTCAAAAAAATAGCTTAAAAAGAGCCGGATAAAGAGTAGTGTTGAACGGTTTGTCTCAGCAGAGGCTTTTTCTGGTTAAAAATCAAAAGTACACAATGTACATGTACACTTTTAACATAAAATAGTAGTCAGTCAGCCAGAAATTGACATACATTTCCTCAGGTTTGCGCTGGAGCTGTGAGGCTAATATAGCTGAAAAGTAATGGTAGTTTGTATCCCACCAGTTATTAGTGCCGAGCTAGGTTTTGGATAAGGAGAAAAGGCTAAATTGTTGTTGTTTTGTTTGTTTTTTTTCCTGCGTTAAACTGTCCTTTGCACTGAAATAGTCGTCTGAGCAGCCTTGCCTTTTTTGGCAGGACATCTGGCCCCGTTCAGAGGTCGTCAGTGCTGGTTTGTTTTGAGCGCTGAACAGTACATAAACATTTTGAGCGCGTATTTCGTGTTAGATGAAGATAAAGAATGCTCAACTGGTTTTTCAGCCTTCACTGTAACAGGTCTTCTCACCATGACGGCCTGTCAGATCCACGCCAGCGACTTTCCGCATTGAGGTGTGAACAGTAACACGGCATTGCATGACTTTGTGGACTGTGTATACAAATAGAACATTTTCTAAAACACAAAATAGTCGCTTAGCCGTTTAATTAGTCATAGCTAAATGTCATGGTTGATGGTGGAATGGTGTGAAAATGTATCATGATGTCAACAAACGCAATAATGACGGTTTTTGCAATTATCGCAGTTCTGAGTGGTTGGAATATGGACCAAAGACTGTGTACATGTAGTAAGATTTTAATGGCAAAATTGGCTATAACTTCTGCAAACAGCCTGTCTGCTCTCCAGCGGCTTCTCTGCAAGACTCTGTCTGGCTGCTTTCCCTAGTAGCTTCTTATTAGACAGACTGTGCTGCTAATGGGTCATTTACAGACTCACTCTTTCAGCTCTTTCCTCACCGCATTGATGGAGGACCACACAACAAATGTTTCTAAACAAGTTCTGCTATTTCAGGGTGTCTGCGGGGGTCCTTAAGGGTTAAATTTGAATGTACTTAATGGTAATGATAGTTTTGCTCGCCCTACCTGGAACCTGTGTTAAAATTAAGTCAGGGACGAGTGTTACAGTTTGACATTTTCATTGCGTATAATCTAGTCAAGACATCATGGTGGGGACTCGCAAGAGCTGCAACACTCTCAGCATTGGCCCAGTCCTCAAGTTTGACCCCAGGAGATGCTGACCATGTCTGGGAGTCATAAGGGCTCTTTCACGCCTACCTTGTTTGCTGTGGACCTGTCAACCAATCCATTTTGACAGGTGTGAACACACCGACCGTACCTGGGTTTGCACTAAACACGTGAACCGTGGGTCTCGGTCCACTTCTATACGAACCCTGGCTCAGTTCGCTGCTGGTGGGAGCTCGTCTTTGTGATGGTCTGCACCAAACACCATCCATGTAATTTGACTGCTTTAACATTTGGCTCTTCACAGACGTTCTTATCATTTTGTAGCACAAGCTGCTGCTAAAAATGGCACATGAGCAATAACTGATAGCGAAGCAATGCCTTTTATTTTGGCACATGGATCACGGAACGTATTACATCAGCGACCTGTTGGTTACATTCGAATTGACAAAACAATCGCAGTGAAGCAGATATTAAAGATTATTATTATTATTATTATTGGTTTTCTTGTGATGCACATAGACTTTAAGTGTCTATTTAAATGTATAATTCGGTGCAGTGGAATGTTTTTAGGCTCAAATGGTGGCAGTTGTAACAGAGTGCTTGTATTCCTGCAAAATTTTGGGCCAAAAAACAAGCGAGTGTATAATTTGGTGCATTTTAGCCGTTGCAGTGAGAAACCAATCGAACCAAATGAAAAACATAGTCTCAAAGACCCAAACTCTGATTTAGACTTTGACTTGTGTGAAAACAGCCTGAGAGAACATAATTGGCCCTCCTGTCACTCAGTGTGATGCCAGCCAACAGCAGCATCTCTTAGCTGATGTAACAGAATTAGCACTTAGCATTCTCCTTCAAGCGTGTTGAGCTGTGCAGATAACATTACATAAGCGGCAGTTTGAAATGATGTGGTGGTGCTTTGTGTATCTTGGAGGGAGTGCATGCTAACCTTTTACCCTCTTGGTACTTTCGTGTAATAGGGGGAGGTTTGGGTAGTGGGGGAATGGGCCACAACTAAAACCGTTTAAAAAAACTATATAAGTAACTGTTTTAAAATGAAAAAAATTAAAAGATAAAAACGTAAACACCACATGTGCATTAAAGTTTATTTTTATTGTGAGGGGATAGGTTTAGATTAATTAGAGAGAACATGTAAACAACATCAACCAGTATATATGAATTACAGAAATTGTAGCTAATTGGATGACGATCCATAATGAACGTCTTATTTTATTGTTTATTTTTGCCCATTGTTTTATTTTTTTAATTTTAGAAAAAAAATTCTGATGTGTGTTTTAAGTATTGCAGTATTACATTTTTGCCACATCGCCCACCCTTTTACTTAGTAGAGTCACTGAAGTGACATTAAAAAGCATTACTTAGAGTTTTAATCATTAAGTTGAACTCCAGGACGCCTGCAGACACCCTGTATCCATAAAGCCCTTAATGAGTCCAGTGGATTGTGTTGGAGAAAGCTTTGACACTAACAGTGCCCCTCTGTGATGGGAAGTGATTTGGGACTGAGCCGCAGTGATTCCAGGCTAGTGTACTAACCACTAATGCTCTCTTCCTCTCCCCTAATGCTGCCCCCAGCCCCTCCGCCATGTTTGATTATGACTTTGAGTAAGTCTCAACTTTACGTCCTATTTTTCCCTGACATTTCTTTCCTCTTCTCTTTCGTTCCTCTCTGTCTTTACGTTTCTGGTTCTGCCATGTGGACCAGTCCGTTTGAAATGGCCCAGTGGCATTATAATGCTTGTATTTGTTCATTTACGGATGGTCTGTGTAATCCTGTTTTGTTTTTATTTATTTATTTATTTTTTTTGCATGTTGTTTTTCTTTGATAGCTGTGAACTGTTTGTTCATTTGTTCAATTATACGTTATTAGCGTAAGAAGAAACTTCATGTAATTTAATGTACAAAATTTTTCCTTTCTTATCTCTCTGTGGCCAATAGAAGAATAGTACAGGCAAATTTGGTGTCTTTTCAGGCATCTTTGTGTTTTTCGGTCTGTTTTATCTTTTGATTGGACTGATAAACAATCATGTTTCCACTGTAGGGATGTGCACACGTGCTCCAGTACTCAGTTATTTTCCATTCGAGCACTGAAATCACTCTTCAGGTATTTGGTAATGCTGCATCATGGAAAGTCAGGGAGAAAATAAACAGATTAGTGAAATAACGTTGGGCTGTATAATGGTAATAATGATTCCACGGTATTTAAAAATAATGCCAGTGTTTAGAAATAATGACGGTGTTTCAAAATGATGACGTGTCCGATTTATATTCTACGTCTGAACGGCCAAATAAACTCATTCCACTCATTTATAGTTTAGAGGTCGTCACTGATCGGTGGTGTGGGAGCTCACTGATGGGCAGCACTGATAGAAAGAGGGAAAAGAAGCAGGAAACACCTTAAAAGTAAGAGTGATAGCAGCTTAACGGCCAAAAGCTACACACACACCAGGCTGTAACAGGCTGTAACACACTGAACGCAACACGGTGATGTGAAACATTCAGATAAGATTGTTTCTCATCAAAACCTTTTCTCTGAATTTTACCGTGTTGTTCGCAGTGCGAGGGGGGGGCAGACAGAACACCTATCAAAAAGTCTTTCTTTGCTTCTTACAAAACAGGCAAACTGTGACATTGTGCCGGATTTGTTCCAGGAGAACGGAGAGTCTCTCTGCCTCATTCAGGAGCTGGAGCTTTGAGTGCTTTTGCACACGAGCTGCACACATGTAGCTCCACACGAGACTTCTTTCCATTGGCTACTTTCAATTTTGGAAAAGTTCAAGTAGCACAGAGTGCTTTATTGCATTATTCAGTAACTAAAACTGAGTTCTTCCACATGTAACTGCGATGTTTGAGGCCTGGTAATATTTAGAGATGGTCTACAGGTATTAATACTGCCCAACTTTATAGTGGAACGCCATTAAGTTTGAAGTGCAACAGTTTTGCTTGTGTTTAAGATTTAGGATGTATTTAAGTTTGTGATATACTTAGCTACTATGAAAGTGCCTTGATGTGAAGGACGTTAAGGACATGATTGAGAAGACAGAGGTAGCGCAGCTGTAACTAGGCTAACTACTACAGCGAGCGTTAGCTAGAACCAAAGGCAATGAAAATGTCATCTTAATTGCTGGCACGTCATCCACTGAGGGGTTTTTGTAGATGAGAAAGACCATCTACTGCTGCACTGGTTAGCTGTAGTGTTAGTGTTCTCTCATTAGCTCGGCCTCCTCTGTTCAAAGACAGTGACTAAAATATTTTCCCCCGGCTGTTTTTGAATAATAATGAGATTTCCAGATGTGCACACCTGTAAGCTGCTACGTTTTGCGCATTATGGCATCTAAATATCTGGTGAAAATCCTGAATATCTGTTCATTAACTAGTACAGATACTCGACCATCTCCTGTTTCACTGACCCACAGTAGAGACGTGTTGAATTCTTTGACTTGTACCTGCGGCTTTAGGCAATACTTGTGTGCTCAATCCATGTAGATTTACAGATAAATTTATCTGGTGTCAGAAATTTGTGTGATCATAAAGAGCTTCGTGGATTTGCTTACCATAATAATGTCCTGTGATTTTTCTTATGACTTCCCAGTTTAAACCTTTGGGTAGTCCATTGTTCTCCTACCGTCAGCTTACCCTAAACGGTCATTAATGATTTGAGGGATAAGGAAGGAAGAGCAAATATTTTGCCTTTTTATTTGCAGTTCAGTAAGAAAAATGGTCAATTTGTTTTTTACATTAATGTGGCTGGGTTATAATGAGTAAATGGTCATTCATGAGTAAGAGATACTAATCTGTGCTTTTCTGTTTGTAGATTTGACATGAAGATGAACAAAAAGCCCAGAGCAGTAAGTACAGCTCAGTTTTCCTTCAATTAAAAAGCATTTATATGTAATGAACTGGCTGCATTTTCAAAGTCATTCTTAGATCTTGTAGGATCATTTCTGCCAGTTAGCTTAACATTGTCAATGCATATTTTCCATACAATCGAGCCGGCCTAAGTAGTCTTAAATTTAGCTAACATAACAATTTCCGTAGAGTCACTAGCATAAATTTAGCTCTGTTGTAATGGTGGTATAATAGTTACCCTGCAGAGTAAACACTTTTTATAATATGTGTAGCTGTGACAAGTTCTTGAAATGACTGACTCAAAGCTATGGAAGCCCAATGAAAGCCACAAAAAATGATGGTGTCCATTTATTATCAATTAATGACATAGCATCTGGTAATTGTGATTTGCTGTCTCATAGTGAGATCATATCTCATAATTTGATTATGGCTTTGTATCTAATAATTGACTTTTTGTCTCATCATAAAGAGATTCTGTCAGCATAAATGACCTATGGCACAAATATGAGATCTTGTAATTGACTTATCTCATACTAATGACTTGTTATGTCATAATAATAAGATTCTCTCTCATGATTATGACTTTGTATGACATTAGTATCTCATAATTATGACTTGGCACTGGGGTTCCCAATCCTGGTCCTGGAGATCTGCCACCCTGGAGAGTTCAGGTTCAACACGCCTGTTGCTTTCAGATGCTCCTGAAGGCCTTGATCACCTGGTTCAGGTGTGTTGGAGTAGGGTTGGAGCTAAACTCTGCAGGGTGGTAGATCTCCAGGACCAGGAATGGATTTATCTCATAATTACGGCTTAGCATCTCATAGTAATGACTTACTATTCAGTGCCTTACAATGTGTTAAATACAGCTCAGTATCTCATAATAATAACTGTTATGATTACAACTCACTTTACACATAATTATGATTTAACTTCCCATGATTAAGTCTTACTTTCTCATGATTATGATTAAGCATCTCATAATGAAGTCGTACTTTCTCATAATTATGGTCTGGTGTCTCATAATTGTGATGTAGTGTATGATGATAATGATTCAGCATCTCATGATAACAAGAACGTTTTCTGATTATTATGATCTTATTTCATAATTCTTCTTCTTCTTATTATTATTATTATTATTATTATTATTATTATTATTATTATTTTGATAATACAGCCCTTCCCCCCCCCCAAGTGGCAGAAATACAGACTTTCATACAGAGCAGCTTTAAAGATTTCTCAGTTTCTCAAATAGCTTTAAAAAAACGTTAAGTAATTGTTATTGTGAAATCTTTGAAAGGCTCTGCCCATGAAGTTATTGTTTATTGATAGCTGATTATTTGATATCATCTTATTTTATTTAATTATTTTGGTCAATTGTAATGTAAAATTGTTGAAATTAAAAGACACAACCCTTTTTTTAAACATGATGCTTCTGTTTTGCTGGTACATTTTGTCCACAGTCTCATGAACACTAAATATTGTGTATTGTGAAAATGCTGTTATGTATTATGATGTTATATTTTCACTGTATCATCCACCCTTATGCTGATGTAGACTTTGTCCGTGTCTAGAGGAGAGAGGAGTTGTTTAATGTTACCGTCTACATCCTGCGCATGTTTCTCTGTTTAATGTAACTGCATTCGTTTGGCAGGACTATTCGGCTTGATGGTTACCACAGAGAGGAGCGGAGTGTTTGACACGGACTCTATCTGCACCACCACGCAAACAAAACCACAGTTGTACAGCCTCAGGCTGCACCCATTCATCATTACTCCTGTCTGCCATAACAGCGCCGGCCAATCTAGTGCAAGCGTGGAAAACGCCCTTCTTCTTCTTAAGCTACTACTTCTTCTGTCTTTTATGTTTCATACATCTTTACCCCTCCAGATCACAGGGGAAGGGATGTGTTCCAGTTTACAGTCCGGTTAGTGTCTCCACATTTCTGCTCTCGCTGCACAAAAACCTTCATTTTAATTCATTCGCAGGTACAAACAGTTCTGTCTGCATGTTCTCTGTGTGAGGTTTGAACACAGTCCTCATCTCCATACACCTCATCAATGCCTATTTCCATTATGTCTGGTTATCTTCTGTGTTTGTGATGCTGCTGCGTTCGAGAAGTTTCCAGCAACTCTTCAGCTAAAAAAAGACACGTGAGATTTCTTTTTGGAAAATCTATTACTTTTTGTTAAAACTTGTAGTTAATGTGAAAAGTAAAACAGTCTTGTCATTTCCATAGTTGTTTTTTACTCTACATTTTGTTTTGAATAAAAATGTGATTAAAAAATACCTTACTAGTCTTTTGTGTTGCCTTTAGAGCTGCTTAATTATGGCAAAAACTCTAACCTGAATCATTTTTGACAAAAGTTACAACAGCTTTTAAAAGCAAGTCTCTTTCTCTTAAAGGAATAATTTGGCCAAACATCTAATTTACCCAGTTTGTCAACTTACCCTGGGATGTTTTTCGACCATGACATGTTTCCAACTTTTGCTTCTTCAGTTTAGAACCGGAGCTGAGAGGCTGACGTTGCTAAACACTAGACATCAGTAGTCACCCAAATAGTTTCTGCTAAAATACATCCCCAAAACCTCTCTCAACCCGCTTAAACTGCCTCAAGGTCATGGTCCAGACTTGTCGTTGTGGTCTGGAGCACAGTCAAATCAAATCAAATCAAATTTATTTCTATAGCGCTTTTTACAACTGATGTTGTCACAAAGCAGCTTCACAGAAATCCATTTAGAACAAAGTTTCAACATGAAATGTAAATCCTCCAGGTGAGCAAGCCAGGGGCGACAGTGGCAAGGAAAAACTCCCTCAGAGCTGAGGAAGAAACCTTGGGAGGAACCAAGGCTCACATGGGGGGACCCATCCTCCTCTGGTCAAACTATGTACAAAATTATTATACTACTAATATTAATAGTAGTAGTAATAGTAATAGTTAGGAGGTAGTAATAGTTAGGAGACTTCAGCGTAGAGTGGGCAGCCAGTCCAAGGCAGGTGGCGGTGACTGGGTTGTGGGTAACTGGTCTGAAGCGGGTAGCCGGAGAGCTCTACAAACAATCATCCAGCAGTGTCCGGCCGGACAGGTGGGCAGTCGTTTTCTCGGGAGAAAGGTAGGGAAATGGAGTTAGTTTAGTTCTGTATGGGTGTATGTATAGTAGTATGTAAAACATTTCCAGAGTGTGGCTAACGACTCCGGCAGATCTGACTATAACAGCTTAACTAAAAGGAGCGAACCAAAAGGGCACACAGACACGGGAGCACCCTGAAACAATCTGGCATCCCTCCGCTCCACCGTCCACAAACCTGAGTGTTCGCGTGCGAGCGGCGGGACGACAGCACCAGTCTCAGTTTACTATAATTCCCTGTGTCCATGGACCCCTGGATCTGCTGCCTTTATCCAGGGGGAAACATTAGCTACCAAAAGCTAAACTAAACAAGTGAGTTTTCAGCCTAGATTTGAATATTGCGACTGAGTCTGAGTCCCGAACATTTTCTGGAAGATCATTCCAGAGTTTGGGGGCTTTATAAGAAAAGGCTCTTCCCCCAGGTGAAACCTTCTGAATTCTGGGAACTATTAAAAAGCCAGCACTCTGTGATCTGAGTAATCGTGGTGGCTCGTAATGGGGAAATAAGGTCTTGTAGGTACTCAGGAGCGAGCCCATGTAGGGCTTTATACGTCAATAAAAGAATTTTGTAATCAATACGCAATTTAACAGGCAGCCAATGAAGTGATGATAGAACTGGACTGATATGATCAAATGTTCTAGTTTTAGTGAGAACCCTGGCTGCAGCATTTTGAACTAGTTGAAGTTTACTTAAATTCCTGCTGGTGCATCCTGACAGTAGTGCGTTACAGTAATCTAGCCTTGAGGTAATAAAGGCATGTACTAATGTTTCTGTATCATGCAGCGATAAGGCATTTCTTATTTTGGAGATATTGCGAAGATGTACAAAAGCTGTCCTAGTGATGCTGCCTATGTGTTGATCGAATGATAAATCTGGATCGAGTATTACACCAAGATTTTTTGCTGCTGAACCAGGTATAACTGTAAAGTCAGCAAGATTTAAAGTTAAATCTGATCATTTATTTCTTGCCACTTTTGGTCCCAGAAGGAGAACCTCTGTTTTGTTACTGTTTAGGAGGAGGAAGTTACGCAACATCCAGCCTTTCACATCTTTTACACAGTCCTCTATTTTCTTTAGCCTGTATTTGTCATCAGGCTTGGCTGATATGTATAATTGTGTATCGTCTGCGTAACAGTGAAAGTTAATGCCATGGCTACTTATAACTGTGCCTAACGGTAACATGTATAATGTAAATAATAATGGTCCTAAAATAGAGCCTTGCGGAATTCCAGATCTTACTTGTGAATAATTGGAAGATAAGTCATTTACCTTTACGAACTGATAACGTTCCGTTAAGTAAGATTTGAACCACGATAGGGCTGTCCCTGTGATTCCAACCATGTTTTCTAACCTTTCTAGGAGAATATTGTGGTCTATCGTATCGAAAGCTGCACTGAGGTCAAGTAGCACTAACAGGGATATGTAGCCTTGATCAGAGCCAAGAAGAAGATCATTTGTTATCTTAACTAGAGCTGTCTCAGTGCTGTGATGTGGCCTGAATCCAGATTGGAATTTCTCAAATATGTGGTTCTTATGTAGATATGAACTAAGTTGTTGGGCTACGGCTTTTTCTAAGATCTTAGATATAAATGGTAGGTTAGAAATAGGCCTGTAATTAGACAATATGCTAGCATCAAGGTTTGGTTTCTTGATCAGAGGTTTAATAACTGCTAGTTTAAAAGCTCTGGGTACATGGCCCAGGCTAAGAGTTTACTATAGTTAAAAGAGGATTAATGATAACTGGTAGTACTTCTTTGAGTAATTTTGAGGGGATTGCATCAAGTGTGCAGGTTGTACAATTTGCAGAGGAGATAATCTTCTCTAGTTCTGGCTGTGGGAGTGGGTAGAAATTTTCAAGCCTTTCTTCTGCAGCTATGTTATGTTTTATATCAGCCATGTCAGATGACAGCCAAGTTGGATTTAATGTGGGGGTTGAATTTGTTGTCTAATATTTTCGATTTTATTATTTAAAAAGTCCATAAAAACTTCACTGGTGAGGGTCGCCGGAATTTGTGGTTCAATACCTGCCTGATTTTTTGTAATTCTAGAGATCACACTAAACAGTACTCTAGGATTATATTTATTATTCTTGATCAGCGAGGCCAGATATGCTGAGCGAGCTTTAGTGAGAGCATTCCTATACTCTATAAGGCTGTCCTTCCAGGCCAAGTGGAACACTTCCAGCTTGGTTGATCGCCATTTCCGCTCTAGTTTCCATACTGTTTGTTTTAAGGTACGGGTTTTATCATCGTACCATGGGGCGAGCTTTTTCTGTCTTATCCTTTTGATTTTTAGTGGGGCCACGTTTTCTAAAGTAGATCGGAAGGTATTTTCTAAATAGTCGGTTAATACATCTAGCTCCATTGGGTCTGATGGAGTGGAGACTAGGGTTGTTAGTACTGGGAGGTTTTCTATGAATTGTAGGGCGGTAAATGGTTTTATTGAGCGCTTTGCAGAATAGCGAGGGGACGTACATGTATTATGGCTAAGACGTAGCTCATAAGAGATTAGGTAATGGTCGGAGATTACTGAGGTTTGCGGTAGGTTTGACTTACTGTGAGCTAATAATGAATGTTGTGTAAAATGGCTGCCTGTATCAGTAACTTTTTCATTTTTATAGTTCACAGTAAGTCATACTGTGTCCTAAACCACATCAACAAGACTGTATGAGCTTAATGATGACCTCGATGCAGTTTGAGCTGGTGGAAAGAAGTTTTGTTGATGTATTTTTGCAGAAAGGATTTGGGTGACTGTTGAGTTCCATTGTTTGTTAGCAATGTTAGCCTTGCCGCTCCAGTTCTAAATTAAAGAAGAAGAAATTAGACCCCAAATGTCTCTGCCGATCAACTGCATCTGGGGTAAGAAGAAAATTGTGTAAATTTGATTTGATCACTACCGCTCTTTAAACTAGTGACGTACTGATATTCAGGACTCACTGGGCTGAAAACCAACAAAGCTGATAATAAAGGCAGTTCACTGAAAACTACTTAGTAATAAAGTTTACAGTATGTGCAACAACATTAAACAGAGAACAGTTGGTCATAAAAGGCAATGAAGTCTGTTGTTTAGTTATACAGGGTGATTCAAAAAGATTCATCCGATTTCAAAATGATTTATTTGACTTGTGAATCATTATAGAACAATGCAGTGAACTGTAAATGGTTTAAATCAGCATAAAGTTTATTATGTAATTCTACAAGTGCTCAATATGAACCTCCTCCAGCTGTACGGACAACATCAACGCCATAGTCAAACTCATCCCATACTCGATTGAGCATGTCGGGTGTTGCTGCACTCACAGCTCTTTCAGTGCGATTTCGGAGATCATCCAGGGTTGTGGAACCAACGACGAACGCTCTGAGCTGTTGGAGGTTCACTGCTGATGAAAATCACACTGCACAGTTATGGCGGATCCACTCTTATTGAAGTGGAGAACGCAGAGCGCTTTCTGTTCAGGGGTCTCCATCTCCTCTCAGACTGAAGGGAGCCATCTTCTGATGACAGAAACTCTGTGACCCCCTCTTTCCATTGGTATGTGATTGGTTCCTAGCCGCCTCATGGTTGTAAAAATATTGCGCTGTGAAATCAGATGAATCTTTTTGTATCACCCTGTATTTTGCACTTTCATGCTGTGGTTTGTAATTGTTAACCGCTTCAAAAACAGATGGCATTCGCAAAATAGCGGGGACTTTATCCAAACCTGTAGCGAAACCAAACCTGTAGTGGAGAACTTATCGAGTGTTGTATTTTCTCTTTTTTCTAACTTTTTTAAAACATTACTGCCTAGTTCAATCATTGAGGTGTAGACAAAGTCATTCAGAGTAGTTTAGAGTAAAATGGTTCACTGTAGAGAAACTTACAGGCTTCTTTACAGTGGTGATGATAAGAACCAGACGTCACAATGTCTACGACACAAACATAGCCATTTTATTTACTATCCAAAACCACCAGTGAACCTACACGAGTCTTCTGAGCTTTTATGTGTAATATTGATGATGGTGAAATAGTCATAAATCTGAAAAAATGTTTTCTTTGGGGACTATTTTGCCTCACAATGTCCTGCATGTACAGTTTAAGGTTTTTTAAAAAAAAGTTTTAGACTTAAAAATGATCTTAAAACAATGTCTCGGACATCAGGCAGTGTATTCATCACCATTTC